TACACACACAGTACACTACTATACACAGTGTTACACAGACTACAGTGTTACACACACACACAGTACACTACTATATACACAGTGTTACACAGACTACAGTGTTACACACACACAGTACACTACTATATACACAGTGTTACACAGACTAGTGTTATATACACACACACAGTACACTACTATACACACAGTGCTTACACAGTGTACACAGACTACAGTGTTTACACACACATTACACTACTATACACACAGTGTTACACAGTGTTACACAGACTACAGTGTTACACACACACACAGTACACTACTATAGACACAGTGTTACACAGTGTTTACACTTGTTACAGTGTTACACACACACACACAGTACACTACTATAGACACAGTGTTACACAGTGTTACACAGACTACACAGTGTTATACACACACAGTACACTACTATACACAGTGTTACACACACACAGTACACTACTATACACAGTGTTACACAGTGTTACACAGACTACAGTGTTACACACACACAGTACACTACTATACACAGTGTTACACAGTGTTACACAGACTACACAGTGTTATACACACACAGTACACTACTATACACAGTGTTACACAGACTACAGTGTTATAGACACACACAGTACACTACTATACACACAGTGTTACACAGTGTTCACAGACTACAGTGTTACACCACACACGTACACTACTATACAGTGTTACACAGACTACAGTGTTACACACACACAGTGCACTACTATACACACAGTGTTACACAGTGTTACATAGACTACAGTGTTACACACACACAGTACACTACTATACACACAGTGTTACACAGTGTTACATAGACTACAGTGTTACACACACACAGTACACTACTATACACACAGTGTTACACAGACTACAGTGTTACACACACACACACACAGTACACTACTATACACACAGTGTTACACAGTGTTACACAGACTACAGTGTTATATACACACAGTACACTACTATACACACAGTGTTACACAGTGTTACACAGACTACAGTGTTATATACACACAGTACACTACTATACACAGTGTTACAGTGTTACACAGACTACAGTGTTACACACACACAGTACACTACTATACAGTGTTACACAGTGTTACACAGACTACAGTGTTACACACACACACAGTACACTACTATACACACAGTGTTACACAGTGTTACACAGACTACAGTGTTACACACACAGGACACTACTATACACAGTGTTACACAGACTACAGTGTTACACACACACAGTACACTACTATACACAGTGTTACACAGACTACAGTGTTACACACACACACAGTACACTACTATACACACAGTGTTACACAGTGTTACACACACAGTACACTACTATACACACAGTGTTACACAGTGTTACACAGCTACAGTGTTACACACACACCAGTACACTACTATACACAGTGTTAGCACAGACTACAGTGTTACACACACACACAGTACACTACTATTACACAGTGTTACACAGACCTACAGTGTTACACACCACACAGTACACTACTAATACAGTGTTACACAGTGTTACACAGACTACAGTGTTACACACACACAGTACACTACTATACACACAGTGTTTACACAGTGTTACACAGACTACAGTGTTATACACACACACAGTACACTACTATACACAGTGTCACACAGTGTTACACACACACACAGTACACTACTATAACACAGTGTTACACATGTTACACAGACTACAGTGTTACACACACACACGTACACTACTATACACACAGTGTTACACAGTGTTACACAAACTACAGTGTTACACACACAGTACACTACTATACACACAGTGTTACACAGTGTTACACAGACTACAGTGTTACACACACACAGTACACTACTATACACAGTGTTACACAGTGTTACACAGACTACAGTGTTACACACACAGTACACTACTATACACACAGAGTTACACAGTGTTACACAGACTACAGTGTTACACACACACACAGTACACTACTATACACAGTGTTACACAGTGTTACACATACTACAGTGTTATATACACACACAGTACACTACTATACACAGTGTTACACATACTACAGTGTTACACACACACAGTACACTACTATACACAGTGTTACACAGTGTTACACATACTACAGTGTTACACACACACAGTACACTACTATACACAATGTTACACAGTGTTACACAGACTACAGTGTTACACACACACAGTACACTACTATACACAGTGTTATACAGTGTTACTACTATACACAGTGTTACACAGTGTTACACAGACTACAGTGTTACACACACATAGTACACTACTATACACACAGTGTTACACAGTGTTACACAGACTACAGTGTTACACACACACACAGTACACTACTATACACAGTGTTACACAGTGTTACACAGACTACAGTGTTACACACACACAGTACACTACTATACACAGTGTTACACAGACTACAGTGTTATACACACACACAGTACACTACTATACACACAGTGTTACACAGTGTTACACAGACTACAGTGTTACACACACACAGTACACTACTATACACACAGTGTTACACAGTGTTACACAGACTACAGTGTTACACACACACAGTACACTACTATACACACAGTGTTACACAGTGTTACACAGACTACAGTGTTACACACACACAGTACACTACTATACACAGTGTTACACAGACTACAGTGTTACACACACACACACACAGTACACTACTATACACACAGTGTTACACAGTGTTACACAGACTACAGTGTTACACACACATTACACTACTATACACACAGTGTTACACAGTGTTACACAGACTACAGTGTTACACACACATTACACTACTATACACACAGTGTTACACAGTGTTACACAGACTACAGTGTTACACACAAAGTACACTACTATACACAGTGTTACACAGTGTTACACAGACTACAGTGTTACACACACACACAGTACACTACTATACACACAGTGTTACACAGTGTTACACAGACTACAGTGTTACACACACACAGTACACTACTATACAGTGCTACACAGTGTTACACAGACTACAGTGTTATACAGTGATACACATAATACAGTGTGATACAGTGTACGTCGCTATACACACAGTACAGTGCTATACACCGTACAGTACTATACAGATGACATTGTTATACATAGTACAGTGCTGTGCGGTGTACAGCGCTGCGCGGTGTACAGTGGCCACACACAAAGTACAGTGCTATACACACAAAGTACAGTGCTATACACACAAAGTACAGTGCTATACACACAAAGTGCAGTGCTATACACACAAAGTACAGTGCTATACACACAAAGTACAGTGCTATACACACAAAGTACAGTGCTATACACACAAAGTACAGTGCTATACACACAAAGTACAGTGCTATACACACAAAGTACAGTGCTATACACACAAAGTACAGTGATATACACAAAGTACAGTGCTATACACAAAGTGCAGTGCTATACACACAAAAGTACAGTGCTGTACGCACAAAGTACAGTGCTGTTCGCACAAAGTACAGTGCTATACACAACGTACAGTGCTATGCGCAGTACAGTTATATACACAAAGTACAGTGATATTAACTCATTTGAGGCCGAGTCGCTAAGGAACGCAACTCTCTCCCGTTTATCCGCTAAATAACGGAACTCTCTCTTCCGTTTATCCGCTAAGTAACGCGACTCTCTCGTTTATCCGCTAAATAACGGAGCTCTCTCCCGTTTATCCGCTAAGTAACGGACCTCTCTCTCCCGTTCATCCGCTAAGTAACGGACCTCTCTCTCCCGTTTATCTGCTAAGTAACGGACCTCTCTCTCCCGTTTATCCGCTAAGTAACGGACCTCTCTCCCGTTTATCCGCTAAGTAACGGACCTCTCTCTCTCGTTTATCCGCTAAGTAACGCGACTCTCTCTCGTTTATCCGCTAAGTAACGGAACTCTCTCTCTCCCGTTTATCCGCTAAGCAACCGAACTCTCTCTCCCGTTTATCCGCTAAGTAACGGAACTCTCTCTCTCCCGTTTATCCGCTAAGTAACGGAACTCTCTCTCCCGTTTATCCGCTAAGTAACGGAACTCTCCCGTTTATCCGCTAAGTAACGGAACTCTCTCTCCCGTTTATCCGCTAAGTAACGGAACTCTCTCTCTCCCGTTTATCCGCTAAGTAACGGAACTCTCTGTCCCGTTTATCCGCTAAGTAACGGAACTCTCTCTCCCGTTTATCCGCTAAGTAACTGAACTCTCCCGTTTATCCGCTAAGTAACGGAACTCTCTCTCCCGTTTATCCGCTAAGTAACGGAACTCACTCTCCCGTTTATCCGCTAAGTAACGTGACTCTCCCGTTTATCCGCTAAGTAACGGAACTCTCTCTCCCGTTTATCCGCTAAGTGACGGACCTCTCTCTCCCGCTTATCCGCTAAGTAACGGAACTCTCCCGTTTATCCGCTAACAGAACTCTCACTCTCCCGTTTATCCGCTAAGTAACGGAAACCTCTCTCCCGTTTATCCGCTAAGTAATGCGACTCTCTCCCCCGTTTATCCGCTAAGTAACGGACCTCTCACTCTCGTTTATCCGCTAAGTAACGGAACTCTCCCGTTTATCCGCTAAGTAACGGAACTCTCTCCCGTTTATCCGCTAAGTGACGCGACTCTCTCTCCCGTTTATCCGCCAAGTAACGGAACTCACTCTCCCGTTTATCCGCTAAGTAACGCGACTCTCTCTCTCGTGTATCCGCTAACAGAACTCTCTCCCGTTTATCCGCTAAGTAACGCGACTCTCTCTCTCCCGTTTATCCGCTAAGTAACGCGACTCTCTCTCCCGTTTATCCGCTAAGTAACGCGACTCTCTCTCTCCCATTTATCCGCTAAGTAACGGAACTCTCTCTCCCGTTCATCCGCTAAGTAACGGAACTCTCTCTCCCGTTTATCCGCTAAGTGACGCGACTCTCACCTGGGTTGTCGTCTCAGCTCAGCATCCCCGGACACCGGAAACTCTCCCCGGAGTGTCCCCAAGCTCCTCTCGTAGCCAGAAACTCTCCAGAAACTCTCCACCCCACTCTCTGTGAACTCTCTCCCTGTTAACTCTCCCCTCTCTGTGTGAACTCTCCCTACACTCTCTCTCTCTCTCTCTGAACTCTCTCCCTGTGAACTCTCCCCCCTCTCTGTGAACTCTCCCCCCACTCTCTCTCTCTCTGTATGAACTCTCTCCCTGTTAACTCTCCCCCCTCTCTGTGAACTCTCTCTCTGTGAACTCTCCAGAAACTCTCCCCCCACTCTCTGAACTCTCCCCCCACTCTCTGTGAACTCTCCCCCCACTCTCTGTGAACTCTCCCCCACTCTCTGTGAACTCTCCCCCCACTCTCCCCTCTCTCTGTGAACTCTCCCCCCCTCTCGACTGAACTCTCTCCTCTCTCCCTGTGAACTCTACCCCCACTCTCCTCTCTCCCTGTGAACTCTCCCCCTTCTCGACTGAACTCTCCCCCCACTCTCCCCGGACTCCCGTTTAACTCTCCAGCGTCTCTCTCCGTTACTCTCCCTTCTCTCTCTCTGTGAACTCTCCCCTCGCTCTCTCTCTGCCTCAACTACGCTGTGAACTCTCCCTTATCTCTCCCTTCTCTCCGCCTCTACCACGCTGTTAACTCTCCCTTATCTCTCGCTTATCTCTCCCCTCTCTCTCAAGGAAGGAAGTCTCTCCCCCCCCTCTCTCTAACCCCGCCCCTCCTCGACCTTTGACCCCGCCGCTGCTTCCCCTTCCTCCTCCCCCCCACCACTTCTCTCCCTACTTCCGGCACCGCCCGAAGCCATTTCCGGTCGGCCATCTTACTATCCCAGACCACGTGGTCGGACTCTGCCTCGAGCCCCGCCCTCCCAGACCACGTGGTCGCTTCAACCCCCCCCACGAGCCCCACCCTCGCAACCCACGTGGTCGCCCCCCAACCCCTCTGTGGTTGTGACGTCACTTCCCCACTCCCGTGATGCACCGCGACTTTTTAAAAAATTCACGACCGTTAATGGGGGGGGGGGTGGAGATCACGTGACAACCTCTCCGAGCGCGCTGATTGGACACCCGCGGCACGTGCTCCACGGACGTTGCAAAAAAAGTGCCTCGTGGCTCATCACCATCGATTTTTAAATGTATCGATTTTTTTTAATGCGTCTATTTCTAAATGTTATCGATTTCTAAACATACAGATTATTTTGATTTAAAGCTTTCGTGAATGCAGTAATTCATATTCTTAGTTTTTTCGGTAAAGTCACGTTGAAGAGAAACAACAAAATAACAAAATATATATAAAACAATAAAAAATTCTCACGACGTTTCGACCATAACTCAAACGGTCATCATCAGGTGTGTCGGTTTGCATAAATTTATTTTGAAAACGGCATATTATTTATATATATAAAAAATAACGTTTGCGTCACGCGCAACGATTGGCTGTTTGCCAGGACTAGTCCATCTATTTTTTGAAAAGAGGAGGGGGGAGACGAAATTTGTTTTTATGTATGCTGTCTGAAAGCCACTGTAAGCGTGAACAATCAATCAAGAACTGAAATGATTTATCAAATCTTTCCAATGATTGCTAAGATAGAATCCATCTTCTCGGTTGAAATTGTCTCTGTGTTTGTATATGTGGATAGCCTCATGAACGAATCTCTCATGGAAGCCAGATGGCTTACAAAGAACCTCCGTCTTGGAAAAGTCAATGGCATGTGAGCCTACTGAATTAGAACAATGATCTGCTACGGCCGAGGTGTTGGTCCTACCGTGTTTAAGGTCTGCTTTATGTTCACGAATGCTGTCCGAGATATGGCGTTTGGTTTCTCCAATGTAACTACTACCACAGAGGCAACTTAGTTTGTAGACACCAGGGTATTGTATGTCCGGAATCACATCTTTTACAGACGGAACCAGATCACGGATTCCATACACCCAGCCATCAGATTTACCATGGAAGTCGAAATAGATGGCAAGATACCTTTTTTGGATGTCCTAATTAAAAAGAGACCTGATGGTTCAATGAGCCACTCTGTCTACAGGAAAGCTACCCATACGGATGCTTATCTGAAACCGGATTCCCACCACCATCCATCACAGAAGAATTCTCTCATCAAGACTCTGTATCATAGAGCCCAATGCATATCCGACCAGGAACACATAAGCAGTGAACTCAAGCACGTACACCAAGCTCTTAGGGCTAATGGTTACTCCGACTATACAATCCGCAAAGCTATCACTCAAACCATGAAGAAGAACCCTCTTGAGGAGCCTTTCAAAACCATCACTTTACCCTACATTGCTGGGATCACAAAAAAGATCTCCAAAATCTTGAATAAACACAAGATCCAGGTCCGTTTCAACACATTACATAAAATCCGTGATCTGGTTCCGTCTGTAAAAGATGTGATTCCGGACATACAATACCCTGGTATCTACAAACCAAGTTGCCTCTGTGGTAGTAGTTACATTGGAGAAACCAAACGCCATATCTCGGACCGCATTCGTGAACATAAAGCAGACCTTAAACACGGTAGGACCAACACCTCGGCCGTAGCAGATCATTGTTCTAATTCAGTAGGCTCACATGCCATTGACTTTTCCAAGACGGAGGTTCTTTGTAAGCCATCTGGCTTCCATGAGAGATTCGTTCATGAGGCTATCCACATATACAAACACAGAGACAATTTCAACCGAGAAGATGGATTCTATCTTAGCAATCATTGGAAAGATTTGATAAATCATTTCAGTTCTTGATTGATTGTTCACGCTTACAGTGGCTTTCAGACAGCATACATAAAAACAAATTTCGTCTCCCCCCTCCTCTTTTCAAAAAATAGATGGACTAGTCCTGGCAAACAGCCAATCGTTGCGCGTGACGCAAACGTTATTTTTATATATATAAATAAATATGCCGTTTTCAAAATAAATTTATGCAAACCGACACACCTGATGATGACCGTTTGAGTTATGGTCGAAACGTCGTGAGAATTTTTTATTGTTTTATATATATTTTGTTATTTTGTTGTTTCTCTTCAACGTGACTTTACCGAAAAAACTAAGAATATACAGATTATTTTTAATGTATCGATTTATAAATGTGTTCATTTTTTTCATGGATCGATTTCCACATTCCACCCACTCACGTTAACAATATCCCAGGATTTTGATTTAAAGCTTTCGTGACTGCAGTAATTCATATTCTTAGCTCTTTCGGTAAAGTCACGTTGAAGGGAAACAATAAAATAATATTATTTTATTGTTTCCCTTCAAAGTGACTTTCCTGGGACATTATATTCTTAGCTCTTTCGGTAAAGTCACGTTGAAGGGAAACAAAAAAATAATATTATTTTATTGTTTCCCTTCAACGTGATAAAATAATATTATTTTATTGTTTCCCTTCAACGTGACTTTACCGAAAGAGCTAAGAATATAATGTCCCAGGAGACAGAGAAACGTCCAATACATTCGTACCGTGTAATGACCCACCACCACCACCACCCACCCCCCTCTCTCTCTCTCAGCGCCACCCACCAAGTGAAATGCGGTGGGGTTTTTTCATGGAAGACTTTTGCTGGTTTTAGTTTTCCCCCCACGATTTGTTGTTGTTGTTGCGAGTCGTAGTAACTTGAAGATGTTTCCTTGTTCGTGTTTTTGTTGCGGTTGTACCCGAGTCGAGAGCCGCATGGTTCACAGGGCTTATTACCTCCATATATATTTTTAAAAATCGCAAAGCTGTGATTGTGTTGTTGTCTGTTCAAGATGTTTAGAGTACTTCCCGACATGCAACAACTTGACATTTGCCATGTGGGTACTTTCCAGACGGTACACCATGCAACAATTATAAAAAATAAACTTTTGTGTTTTCTTTTTGGGCGGGGGGGGGACCTCAATAATGTATTAATTTTTTGCACGCCAACTGAGCTGTGACGTCAAATCTGTCACGTGACCCACGCACGTGGAAGCTTAACGCGTTGTAGCGTAGCGGGTTAGCGCGGTGTGTGTATGTGTGTGTCTCTGTGTGTGTGTGTCTGTGTGTGTGTGTCTGCGTGTCTGTCTGTGTGTGTGTAGCGGTTAGCGCTACGCTGCGCTATGAACCTGGCGACCCGGGTTCGATTCCCGCTCACGGCCAACACCAGTGACGATTATCTGAACCGGTCCCGGGCCTCCCCTAGGTCGACTCAGCCTCAAATGAGTACCTGGTGCGGTGTGTAAACATCGCCACTAGGGAGACAAAGGCGGTCGGACGTGGTTGCTGGCCACCCACCCCCTCGTGTACCGTTCCGGCCTTCATAGGTGCTCGCTAACAGCACTTGCCCCTACAGTATGGTAAGGCTACATGGGGGATCTTTGTCTTTGTGTGGGTGGAGCGGTGGTGTAGCGGTTAGCGCTACGCCGCGCTACGAACCCGGCGAACCCGAGTTCGATTCCCGCTCACGGCCACCACCGGGGGTGGGGGTAGAGAGGGGGGGGGGTGGGGGGTAGAGAGGGGGGGGTGGGGGGTAGAGAGGGGGGGGGTAGAGAGGGGGGGGGTGGGGGGTAGAGAGGGGGGGGTGGGGGTAGAGAGGGGGGGTAGAGAGGGGGGGGGTGGGGGGTAGAGAGGGGGGGGGTGGGGGGTAGAGAGGGGGGGGGTGGGGGGTAGAGAGGGGGGGTGGGGGGGTAGAGAGGGGGGGGGTGGGGGGTAGAGAGGGGGGGGGGTGGGGGGTAGAGGGGAGGGGGTGGGGGGTAGTAGAGAGGGGGGGTGGGGGGTAGAGAGGGGGGGTGGGGGGTAGAGAGGGGGGGGGTGGGGGGTAGAGAGGGGGGGGTGGGGGGTAGAGAGGGGGGGGGTGGGGGTAGAGAGGGGGGGGGGTGGGGGGTAGAGAGGGGGGGGGTGGGGGGTAGAGAGGGGGGGGGGTGGGGGGTTAGAGGGGGGGGTGGGGGGTAGAGGGGGGGGGTGGGGGGTTATAGAGAGGGGGGGGTGGGGGGTAGAGAGGGGGGGGTGGGGGTAGAGAGGGGGGGGTGGGGGGGTAGAGAGGGGGGGTGGGGGGTAGAGAGGGGGGGTAGAGAGAGGGGGTAGAGAGAGAGAGGGGGTAGAGAGAGAGAGGGGGTAGAGAGAGGGGGTAGAGAGGGGGTAGAGAGAGGGG